AGCGGGGCCCCTGTGGAGCTCGGGGTGTGCAGGCCTCTCCCAAAGCCTATCCATGTGCACCCAGCTCCTCCCTGATCAGCTCCCCACAGGGCAAGGGACAGGAGTGAGACCTCGGGGCAGTCCATGCGGGGCCTCAAATCCCACAGCCCTCACAGGCTGTCAGCTGCATTCCCTGAGGGTGCTGTCACCCCAGCGGCAGCCGCTCCCGGTGGCTGTTTGAGGGCTGCTGCCAGGCAGAGGATGCAGCAGTCTGAGCTGGGACAGGACAGTGGAAGGGCTGCCACGTGGCAGGTGGTGCGGTTGTCGATCCCCGTCCACCTGTCCTAAACCTCTGCGAGGGGCCGGAAGTCCACTGGCTGGCAACTGGCAAAGCTCACTTAATTAATTCGGGGAATGCAGTGCTGTGATCACGGCTCACTGCAGCCTCTACCTTGTGGGCTCAAGCCGTCCTCCCACCTCAGCCTCCCAAATAGCTGGGACTACAGGCACACACCACCAAACCCAGCTAATTTTATTTATTTACTGTATTTATTTTTGTAGAGATGAGGTCTCACTATGTTGCTCAGGTTGGTCTCAAACTCCTGGGTTCAAACAATCCTCCTGCCTTGACCTCCTAAAGTGTTGGGATTATAGGTGTGAGCCACTGCACCTGGCCTAATTTTTCAAGTTTCTTGTAGAGACAGAGTCTAGAGGCTGGCCTTGAACTCCTCCTGGGCTCAAGTGATCCTCCTGTTGCAGCCTCCCAAAGCACTGGGGTTACTGGCGTGAGCCACCACCGGGCCAGCCTCTTTTTTTCTTATTCTTTTTTCTTTTTCTTTTTTCTTTTTTTTGAGACAGAGTCTCGCTTTTGTCGTCCAGGCTGGAGTACAGTGGTGTGATCTTGGCTCACTGCAACCTCTATCTCCTGGGTTCAAGTGATTCTCCTGCCTCATCCTCCCAAGTAGCTGGGATTACAGGTGCCTGCCACCACGCCTGGCTAAGTTTTGTATTTTTAATAGAAATGGGTTTTCACCATGTTGGCCAGGCTGGTCTTGAACTCCTGACCTCAAGTGATCCACCCCCCTTGGCCTTTCAAAGTGCTGGGATTACAGGCATGAGCCACAGTGCCCGGCCATGTAATTTTTCTTGCGTGGACTCCTTGAATCTGAGTGGGCACTTGTGACCATGGTGGAGGCTGGATCATACCCAGTGATGCAGCTTCCTCCGGTTTCCCGGGGCACCTGTGCTAGGGACCCAGCCACCATGCTGTGGGGAAGCCCGTTAGATTGTAGAGGGGCCTATGTGGAGGGGAACCCAGACCCACGGAACAATGACCAGGCTCCCACCTGACCCTGAGCCCACCTGCCAGCCACATGCACCACCATGAGTGGATCCTCCAGTCCGAAGTGGAGCAAACCCAGTCGAGGCCTCATGGAGCGTCTCCACCAAGACCTGCCCAAGTGTGAGTTCATGGGTAATGACTGCTGCTCAGTATGGGGTGCTTTGTTACGCAGTGGCAGAAAATGCAAACACAGCCACGTACGCCTCAGCGATGGATGGGACCCCTGTGAGTCAGATGAGGCAAATAATACCTGCTTAACTGCGCTCATTCATTCACAAACTATAACAGAGCACTCCCAGCATCCCAGGCACTGTTCGAGGCTCTAGGGATCCCGGGTGGAAAATGTTGAGCGATACCTTGATGGCTGGGTCTCAAGCAAGCTCTGTTCCTTCCTCCGAGTTTTTCCTTTTCCTTTCTTTTTTTTTTTTTTGTAGACGGGGTCTCACTTTTTTGCCCAGGCTTCAGTGCAGTGGCACGATCTCGGCTCACTGTGTCCTCAACCACCAGGGCTCAGATGATCCTCCCACCTCAGTCTCCCAGGTAGCTGAGACTACAGGTGTGTGCCACTACACCCGGCTAATTTTTGTGTTTTTTATAGAGACAGGGTTTTGTTGAAACACGGGAACTTTGAATGAAGAGACCTTCCAAATAGGCTTTGTGTGAGCAACATAGCTGTTTATTCACCTGGGTGCAGGTGGGCTAAGGGCGTTAGCAAAAGGCAATGAGACAGGAGTTGGTTTTATAGGTTTGGGTAGTTTTTTGGGGGGCAGGGGTGTTGCAGAGTAAGTTCAGTTACAGTGATGAGGTTGGGTGAGAGGTATTTACATTATCATAAGAACAGTTAAGATGGCAGGTTGGGTTGAGGGGCTTATCAGGGGAAGCTCCGCCAGGGACAATGACGAATGTAGGCAGAGGGCGGGAGACTTTAGCAGAGGCAAGTGGGACTTCAGACTTTCAAGATCCAGGCTTTCTTATAGAGAACTGACAGGTTTCAGCATGTTGCCAAGGCTGATCTCAAACTCCTGTGCTCAAGTGATCCACCCACCTCGGCTTCCCAGAGTGCTGGGATTACAGGCATGAGCCACCGCCCTGGCCCCTTCCCCACTTTTTTACCCAGGAACTGCCCATAAAAATTCCTTCTTCTCTCCCAGCTAAAGATCTCATATAAAGCAATAATCATTTGCCAGGTGACAATCAATTAAAAGCTGGCTGTCACCTCCAGAGGCCACAGGTCTCTTGGGGCTCCCAGACAGAGAGGCTTAGGGCAGCCCCAAGGGAGGGGCTGTCCTTCCACTGCTAAGCGGCTGCTCCAGTCCAGTGAGTGAGCGCCCTTTGCTGGGTAATAAAAGCTCCCATCGTTTACATCCCTGGAAGCATATTAATGAGTAACCCTGTAGTAGGTGGGCCCCTGGTTCTAGCCCTGTAAAATAGTTGTTTATATAACAGGAACAAGGTGTAATTTTCCTTCTGTAGTTTTAAGTGGGCCCAGAGCCCCAGGCCGGTCAAGGCCCTGACATTGGGTTCCTGCAGCCCCAGGCCCTCTCTTTTGTTTTTTGTTTTTGTTTTTTTTGTTTGTTTGTTTTAAAGATGGGGTTTCACCGTGTTGGTCAGGCTGGTCTTGAACTCCCGACCTCAGGTGATCCACCTGCCCTGGCCTCCAAAGTGCTTGGATTACAGGTGTGAGCCACCATGCCCGGCACTTAGGCCCTCTCTTGGGGCCTCCGCAGTGAGGTTCCCACTGCCCTGTGGTCCAGAAACATTGAGGGCCACACAGAGCACAGTCCAACCTCCGAGAAGAATCTAACAGAGGTCTTGCAGAGGGGCAGGCTCATCAGGGCCCAGCGAGGGAGGGGGAGAGCTGGAAGCCTCAGTGGGAGGGGGCGCCTGGGCCAGGCTTGAAGAAGGGCAGGCCCTGCAGTGGGGGCTGTTTGGCCGCCTTGACCAAGCCCTTGTCTGCAAGCAACCCCTGGGAAGTGGCAGGAATTGGCTCCTAAGCAACAGTGGTTTCGGGCCATACCAGGGTCCAGAGAGAGCCAGGCTGCGAACTCAGCATTACTGGGGACCCGCTGTGCTTACTCTCAGGGCCTGGCATGTGGCAGCCATTGTGAAATGGGTAGGATGAATGAGTGGGTAGAGGGTGGAGGCTGAAGCTTCGGCAGCCTATGGTGCTCTGGAAGGGCCAGTGATCCACTTCCTCCAGGGCCAGGTCAGGTGGGTACAGGTTCAGGGCTGCAGGAGACTCTGCGGGCAGAAACTGGGGTCTCCACTGAGCCCTTTCCCTCCACTGCTGTTGCCAGGACAACATCGACAGGCAAATGCTGGGCTCTGCCACTTACAATACACTTTCATTCTGTAGTCTTAGCCCCTAGGACCTTAGAATGCTTTGGAAATTGGTGTGGGATACCGTGGCTCACGCCTATAATCCCAGCCTTTTGGGAGGCTGAGGCGGACAGATCACTTAAGGTTGGGAGTTGGAGACCAGCCTGGGCAACATGGTAAAACCCTGTTTCTACTAAAAATACAAAAATTAGCCAGGTGTGGCGGTGCACACATGTAATCCCAGCTACTTGGGAGGTTGACGCAGGAGAATCGCTTGAATCTGGGAGGTGGAGTTTGCAGTGAGCTGAGATTGAGCCACTGCACTCCAGCCTGGGCAACAAGAGAGAGACTCTGTCTTTAAAAATAAACCAAAACAAAGAAATAGGGTTGCTGCTGATGTAATTAGTTAAGATGAAGTTATTGGGATGGGCCTTAACCCAACATGACTGCTATCCTTATAAAAAGAGAAAATTTGGGTTAGGCATGGTGGCTCACACCTGTAATCCGGGCACTTTGGGAGGCTGAAGCGGGAGGACTGCCTAAGCTCAGGAGTTAAGGACCAGCCTGGGCAACATAGAGAGACTCCATCTATACAAAAAATACAAAAATTAGCCTGGTGTGGTGATGCATGCCTATAGTCCCAGCTACTCAGGAGGCTGGGGCAGGGGGACCGCTGAGCCAAGGAGGTTGAGGCTGCAGCGAGTCACGATCATGCCACTGCACTCCAGCCTGGGCAACAGAGCAAGATCCTGTCTCAAACAAATTTTTAAAAAGGAAATTTGGACACGTGGAGGACACCATGAGAACGCAGGGGCTGAGACCAGGTGGTGCTTCTGCAAGCCAAAGAACATCAGTGGCCGGTGGCCCCCAGAAGCTAGGAGGCAGGCCTGGGACCGTCCCCAGGGCCCCCACTCTGCCCACCGCTTGGACTCTGGCCCCGGGACTGAGCACAGTCCTTTTGTTGAAGCTGCTCGCTGGTGGTGTTTGGCTCCAGCAGCCGCAGGCAGCGCGTCCACACGGTCTCCTGGCCCTCCCGTGCTGCCTTCCTCCTTGGTTGGTCCCTGTGATGAGGCCTCTGTGCGATGGGGAAACCGAGGCCCTGGCCGACACCTGGGATGCAGAGACTCCCGGTACCGCTGTGTGTCCTCGGGCAATTTGCTGAACCTTTCTGGGCTTCAGTTTCTCACCCATTCCAAGAGCTGATGGCTGGGCTTCGGCCACCGACTGCTGGACGGCAGGGCCCACAGGAGCTCAGGAGCTGAGTCCAAGGGGGCGGGGTCGGGCCTGGGAAGCGGGGCGGGATGGGGGCGGGATGGGGGCGGGATGGGGGCGGGATGGGGGCGGGGCCTGCTCGACACGCTCGGTGCTCCGCCGCCCGCTCTGCGTAAGCTCGCCAGGCGCTCGCAGGCTCCGGCGTCGCCAACATGTCGACCGCCATGAACTTCGGGACCAAGAGCTTCCAGCCGCGGCCCCCGGAGAAGGGCAGCTTCCCGCTTGATCACTTCGGTGAGCGGCGGAAAGTCGGCGGGCAGGGTTCTGGGATGGGTGTCTGGGGCAAGGCCCAGCACAGAGCCCTATGGGGTGCCGGCATCTAGCACGGTACAGGCGGGGAAACTGAGGCACGGCGGGTTTCCCCACCCCCCAAGTCCTGGGTCACTGCTGCGGCCGTGGACCCTGCAGGTGGGAGCTGGCAGGGCCGTGGGCTCCTTGACGAGGGCAGCAACACCGACTTTTTGCGTCGGGCTTCCGGGTCCCGGGCTACGCTTTGACTCACCCGGGCGGGCTGTTGGTGCCCTGGGTTTGCAAAGCGGGGTATTTGGCGGCTGCGAAGCCCGCAGCTGCAACCGCGGCTTAGACGGTGCCTGGCGGTGTCTGCTGCAAAACTCAAAAGTGCTGCTCATTTCTTAGTGCTTCTGGCTTGATTCCGGTTTGGGGTTAGCCATTAAGTGAGCCTCGGTGGACATGAAGGCTTCGAAAAAGGATCTGTGGGCCGGGCGCGGTGGCTCTCGCTTGTAATCCCAGCACTTTGGGAGGCCGAGGTGGGCGGATCACTTGAGGTCAGGAGTTCGAGACCAGCCTGCCCTACATGGTGAAACCCCGTATCTACTAAAAATGCAGAAATTAGGGAGCCGCGGTGGCTCAGGCCAGTTGTTCTGGTGCTTGGGGAGGCGAGGCTACGCGTTCGAGGCCAGCCTGGGCAACATAAGAACCTCTCATTCATTTTAAAAAAAAGTACAAAAATTAGTCGGAAAACATAAGAATCTCTCATTCATTAAAAACAAAAACAAAAATTAGTCAGGCATGGTGTGGTTTGCCTGTAGTCCCAGTTTCTCCGGAGGCTGAGGCAGGAGAATTGCTTGAACCGGGAGGCTAGGTTGCAGTGAGCGGAAATCGTGCCACTGTACCCCAGCCTGGGCGACAGAGTCAGAAAACGTCTCAGAAAAAGGATCTCTGGATTACCATTTCTTTCCCAACATTTTGTTATGACATTTTCAAACACACAGCAAAAATGAAAGAATTTTTACCCTGAACTCTTCTATCACCTAGATTGCACCTTAACCTTTTAGTGGGCTGATTTTACCACGTTGTAGATTTGTTTTTTTCCAGTGTTGTTTTCAGCATGTTTCTGAAGGAAACAGGTTTGGTTTTTGTTGTTGTTGTTTTTGAAACGGAGTCTCGCTCTGTTGCTAGGCTGAAGTGCATGCAGTCGCGTGATCTTGGCTCACTGCAACCTCCCCCTCTCAGATTCAAGCGATTCTCTTGCTTCAGCCTCCTGAGTAGCTGGGACTACAGGCCCCCAGCACCACACCCAGCTAATTTTTTGTATTTTAGTAGAGATAGGGTTTCACCATGTTGGCCAGGATGGTCTCGATCTCTTGACCTCATGATCTGCCTGCCTTGGCCTCCCAAAGTGCCAGGATTACAGGCATGAGCCATCGTGCCGAACGTTGTTTTTTTGGGGGGAGGGGGGTGGGGACAGGGTCTCACTCTGTTGTTCAGGCTGGAGTGCAGTGCTGCAATCATAGCTCAATGCAACCTTGACCTCCTTCCTTTCTGGGCTCAGGGGAGTCTCCCGCCTCAGCCTCTGGAGTAGCTGGGACTATAGGTGTAGAGCATCACACCTGGCTAATTTTTTTTTTTAAGAGATGAGGTTTTCCCACATTGCCCAGGCTGGATTGATTATTTATTTATTTATTTATCTATTTTTGAGTTGGATTCTTACTCTGTTGCCCAGGCTGGAGTGCAGTGGTGTTATCTCAGCTCACTGCAACCTCCACCTCCTGGGTTCAAGTGATTCTCCTGACTCAGCCTCTCGAGTAGCTGAGATTACAGGCACCCGCCACCACACCTGGCTAATTTTTGTACTTTTAGTAGAAATGGGGTTTCTCCAAATTGGTGAGGTTGGTCTTGAACTCTTGACCTCAGGTGATCCGCCCACCTCAGCTTCCCAGAGTGCTAGGATTACAGGTGTGAGGCACCGTGCCTGGCCTGGATTATTTTTTTAAGAGTCAGGGTCTTGATCTCTTGCCCAGGCTGAAGTGCAGTTGTGTGACTAGCTCACTGCATCCTTGAACTCGTTTGATCAAGCGATCCTCCTGCCTCAGCCTCCTGAGTAGGTAGAACCACAGGTGTGTGCCACATCTGGCTAACTTTTAATTTTATTTATTTATTTATTTATTTATTTATTTATTTATTTGGAGAGATAGGGTTCTCACTATGTTGCCCAGGCTGGTCTCAAAAACTCCTGGGGTCAAGCAATCCTCCCAGAGTGCTGGGATTACAGGCATGAGCCACCGAGGCCAGCCTGAGAAAAGTTTTGAAAAGAAAAGCAGCGCAGCTCTCAAGGCCGTTGTGTGGTTGCATCATGTTTCACTTTGAAAAGAACATGCTGCCGGCCGGGTGTGGTGGCTCACACCTGTAATCCCAGCACTTTGGGAGGTCAAGGTGGGCGGATCACCTGAGGTCAGGAGATCAGCCTGGACAACATGGTGAAACCCCATCTCTACTAAAAATACAAAAATTACCCAGGCGTGGTGTTGGGCACCTGTAATCCCAGCTACTTGGGAGGCTGAGGCAGGAGAATCACTTGACCCCAGGAGGCGGAGGTTGCAGTGAGCCGAGATCGTGCCATTGCACTACATGCAGCCTGGTGGATAAGAGCGAGACTTAGTCTTTTTAAAAAAAAAAAAAAATGAACATGCTGTTTTCTTTCTCATTTTAGGTGAATGTAAAAGCTTTAAAGAGAAATTCATGAAGTGTCTTCATGACAATTATTTTGAAAATGCTTTGTGCAGAAATGAATCAAAAGAATATTTAGAATGCAGAATGGAGAGGTAGGTATGGCTAAGAGTTCTGACTTCCACCTCCCACTACTCCAACTAAAACATTTTTTTTTTCCTGCAAGGCCATGACGGCGTGTCTTTTTCAGGCCTGGGATTCAGCTTACGTGTTTCAGGACTGTAGAATTGTTTGCCTTTGAAATAGAGGCTTATCAGATGAAATTGTACCACAAGCTGTTTCACAATCTTGGGAACCTCTTCTTGAGCAATAGCATTACACAGGATTGCATTCTAGAGAGCATTTGCTTTCCAAATTTGGTTGCTACCGACCCATCATTAAGGTTTCAAAGTTGTGCATCATAAAAATGCTGACTGAGTCAAAAGACTGAAGTTCACACAGTTTATATCTTTCGCATTCTCAGACCTTAAAAATATGCACTGGGCTGTTTTGCTCCACTTAGAGTTGATTGGAATGTGACAGGGAGGACAATAGACTATTTAAGAAATGATGAAAGATGAATGATTCTTCCTGTCCTAACCAGAACTCACCAAGCTCACTTTTAAACAAAACAAATGCGTTTGTAGCTATGATCCCCACAGCTTTTACTTAAAATAAGAGCTATTCTCATCCCTTATGCAAAAAAGCATGTAGCGTATAATTATATGATGGTGGTGGGAGCTTTTATTTTTGCATTTTGAGGCCGTGATTAGCTCACTAGGCATTTCAGTCCAGTCCTCACACAGCTGTGTCTCTGCTGAAGACAGTTTGACGATTAACCCATCCACTTTGAACTCTCTTTTCATTTTCCCATGACACATTCAGACATTTCCCTCAAGGCAAAAATCAGTTGTGCCATCCCGGCCACGCAAGTGTGTTCAGGGTTATCTGTGTGGACATTTGGGGCCGGGAGGAAGGATGACGTGCCTTCTCAACAGTGTGGATGTCCTGTGAGGCCACGTTCTGCCTTCAGGGCTATTGGCTAGGCTCTTCCAGGGCTTCCATTTGTCCAGGGGCCACACTGAATCTGGCTCTCACCATCTCTAATTGTTTAAGTAGCACACTGGCTGGAGCCACATGTTTAAATTAGCCTTAAATTAATGCATCTTTAGAAAACTAGAACTGAGAATTTCCTCATGGCATTAGAGATGGTGCAAATTGGGCTCTGTTGATGTGAGGGTATGAGCAAGCCTTCTGCCTCGTGCTCAGCTTCGCCAGGAGACCTGCTGAAGATAGCAGGGAGAAGGGGGCCAGGCCACGGCCTCTGGTAGGTTCGCAGCTGTACAGGTGATGTCTAGGCAGACGAGCAGGGTGTGTGTTTCTCATTTCGTTGATTTTTTATTTTCCTTTTTAAAAATCCTTCTTCTATAAGTCAGTTATTTTGACTGTGGAATTTTGATTGGTTGTTTGTTCTCAAAAATCATCAAACGTGCAGAGGTTGAGGATAGCCTGTGTCTGGTAACCGGCGCCCACCCGGTCTTTAGCCATTTCTTTTCTTCCTTTTTCTGTGCTGAAATCCCAGACATTACTCTCACCTCCACATGCATCTGTTTTAGAAAATGGACCACAGTAGAATTTTTTTAAGTTGTCTCTTGAGGACTTGGCCCTTGTGAGCCTGATACGAAAATGTAGGTGTGTGGCGATCTCAAGCCTCTGCAGTGATTGAGAAGTTCGCGTCCCGTCCTGGGGATTGGGCACCGGGGGTCACAAAGATGCCCTGGTGGAGCAGCCTCAGTCCCTGTCAGCAGCACAGAGTGTGCGGGGGCCTTGTGGGATGGTGGTGGGGTCTCCTGGCTGGGTTGTGGGGAGGATAGAGGAGGCCACCCCTGTAAAGCAGGCAGCAGGATCCGGGGCACATCACCATGTGTGAATTCACATCATTGTTACTATTGTCCTGAAGAGTGTGGGGCACATAGAAAGTCATGCTGAGTTCTGACTTTCACGCCTCTAAGATGGCTGCACTGTGATAAACAGCTGGGAATTATTTGGGTGGATGTGGTGGCTCACGTCTGTAGTCCCAGCACTCTGGGAGGCCAAGCAGGAGAATCAGTTGAGCTCAGGACTTCAAGACTAGCCTGGGCAACATGGCAAGACCCTGTTTCTACAAAAAGTTTCTTAAAAAATTAGCTGGCCAGGCACAGTGGCTCACGCCTGTAATCCCAAAACTTTGGGATTTTGGAGTTCAAGACCAGCCTAACCAACATGGTGAGACCCTGTCTGTACTAAAAATACAAAAATTAGCCAGGTGTGGTGACAAGTGCCTGTAATCCCAGCTACTCAGGAGGCTGAGGCAGGAGAATCACTTGAACCCAGGAGGCGGAGGTTGCAGTTAGCCGAGATCATGCCACTGCACTCCAGCCTAGGCAACAGA